CCTGGTTATCTGCTTGAGCCTCCATTAATTTCTGTGTAACTATTTCTGGCTAGTTCCTGATCATCCATGTGCGCTGCCCCTCTTGCTTGTTCTGGATATCAATTTCTGATGCTTGCCACTTCTACCTTGCTACTGACCATATGAGTCCACAGCCAGCTGTGACCTCTAGACTATTCCTGGTAATCCCTGGGGGATCTCACGACACCTCCAGGCACATGAGACCTTACATTTACTACAGCTAGTCCTGAACCAACTCTCAGGTATTATCTGTTTTGGAGTAATATGTTTCCAGTTTCCAGGACCTCCCTCTTCCTGTGTACATCCAGCTCTCAAGTCTAACCTGTTCTGTGGTGCTCTACCGTGAACTACGGTGCCTACCACCTCTCACTGGGTATCATATGCAATGTAGTTAGAGGGTTCACATTGTCATAGTTGGCATCCTGATACCTCTGAAATGGTCTGAAAAGAGATGTGAATTCCCCTGCCTGTGCTAGGTAGACGATTAATCAGTGAGAGAAACAGATATAGGTCTGTTTGGTTACACGACAAGTCTGTGTAAAGGTGGCCATACACTTTACAACCATCACAAGACTTTAGTCTTGCGATGGTTGTAAAGTAATTAAAAAACGTACGATCTGCCTATCTTGGACAGGCAGATCGTACTTGCGATCATCGCAAGCCCGCCCCCCTGAGGGGTGGGCTTCTGATGACTGCAATGCTGAACGGGCATTGTGCGCATGCGCACACCGGCCCATTCGGCATTTGTCTCCCGAGCACCTGACACCAAAGATCATTCTCTCTGCAAAATCTCTCATTCTGGGGCATTCAGAGTTAGTTTGTTTATATATTACATTTATATTACAGCTCATATGTTGGTATCAAACCATAAAGTAGTGCTATTTTTTCACATACTTGTAGATGAGCAAATTTCAAATTTGTAGAGTTTGATGTTATAAAGTTTTAACAAGTCACTTCAGCACCATCTATTTTTTTGTTTGTATGTGAGAGGTAATATGGTCAGTGTTTGCTGCTACTGCTAAAATTATATTTACGAACACATTTCATTGCAGCAAAGTGACATTAGAAAAATAAAAGTGATATTTTTCTTTTTAACTCTTGACAGTCCACATAAACTATGAAAGGGGGCACCCAGATTCCTACTAGCCCCCCTGCCCGCAGACCCCCACAACCATCGGGCCAGGGTTGTGGGGAAGAGGCCCTTGTCCTCATTGACATGGGGACAGTGGCGTAACAACCGGGGGCGGGGGGGGGCAGACGGTGCGCTGGCCTCGGACGTATAGTCGAGGGGGGGGCGCCGGCCGAAAATGGCAATGTTGGCTAAATGCCGAAAGTGCATTTTTCCTGCCGATACATCGGCCCATCCGTGATTTCTTTCCTCTCCGCTGGGCGCTGCTCTGTGTCCCAGCGGGGATGAGAGAAAGTGACAGCTGGCCGAGCGCTGCGGGAGGAGAGTGCTGTGAGCGGCCGACGTCTCTCCCCCCACACCGCTCGGCTGCCTATCACAGTCTGGCAGAGCGGTGTGGGGGCGGAGACAGCCCACGCTGTCACAGGAGGCCTCCTGTGTCAGCATGTCAGAGAGGAGAGCAAGATACAAACACTCAGCGATCAGTGATCGCTGAGTGTAAATAATTGAGGACATAGTATGGTTACTATATCCTCAACTATGAATGAATGGGAGTGATCTATAGCCACTCCTGTTCATTCATAGTTGTGGTTATAGTAAACATACGATGTTATCAATGAACAGGAACACTCATAAAGGATTCATGTTTATTGATAACAGGGGATACAGAAAAAGAGATTGAGGACTCTGTGTCCTCAATCTCTTTTTCTATTTTAAAAGGGAAATATCAGACATTGGATGTTTACATAATGGGGGGGCGGAGAAAAATGTTCTGCCCTGGGCGCCCATAACTCTGGTTACGCCACTGCATGGGGACAAGGTGCTTTCCCTTCTGGCAAAGCACCCTCCCCATGTGGCCTGGTGTGGTGCAAGGAGGAGGGTGGCGCACATTTGTCGCCCCACCCCCTGTTCTTGCTCTGCAAGGCTGCTGCTTGGATCAAAGGTCTGGTAAGGGATTCTAGGGATTTTCATTATAGGACATTTTTGATACGTTCGGATTTGTTATTTTTTCATTTGTATGCATCTGAATGTCTGAATTTCGGGGAAAAAACTAATCACACATGTCTAGTTTGCTCCAACTCTCTCAGCCCCGCTTTCCTGAACTCCCTGTCCAGTACAAGATCATAAGGGACAGAGCAGTCTCCAGAATCTGTCCATTTACTTTTTGGGAGAAGGGCGGAGCAGGAGAGAGGCTTGTGTTGCTGTGCCTGTGTGTTTGCAGAGACACACACAGCTTACTAGCACACACAAGGGTATTTCCATAGGACCCTGCAAGGGAAAGGAACCACCCCAAGACTGAATATCAGGACCAGTACTCAGAGGACCAGCTGATTCTGCAGAAAACTAAAACTGTTAAAAAAGCAATATGGCCAAAATGTTTTTGGCTGTAGTTCTCTTTAGGGTCACAAGAGGACATATACTAATATTCTCTTGTGACCTAAAGCTATTGCTCGCTATATACTGACAGCGAAGAGCCATGCTGCACTTGAGAAGGATCCTGACAATATTGTTGAGATCCACCCCGCTGACTGATTGACAGCTGACTGCCCCTTTAGAGGCAAAACCAGTTGACCCACCCTCTCCCCAGTCTGTTCCTCCAGTCAGTGCTGTGGGAACAGAGAGCAGAGGGGGAATCCTTGTGGGAATGGTGACTGACGGTCATTACTCTCTGCAGGGAGAAGACCGTGAACTGAGCGATCAGTGGCATGTGATCGCTCATTTCTTGATCTACAGAACCGACGTGTGACAGCTGCAGTGTCACGCCTCGGCTCTAACTCTTGGGATTAGTGTATTTCACTATTTCTCATCCCATATTTCTCCTTTAAACATCAAGGAGCATCATTTCATCAGCGTTTGAAATAGGTTAAAAACCTTTTGACCTTTATATCACTTTAAGGTCAGTGATTCAGGTTCATTAAACAGCTAGTCAACTAATATATTCAGAATAAAGGTAATGGCAGCCTCCATGTTTTCACAGGACAGGTTACTTTTACAAACCTGTCGGTGCCATTGTTTTTCCTTGGAGACATTTTTCCTTTATTAGCTTATTAAATCCTCCAAACAACAGTGAAAGCTTTCTAAATGATCTGCCATGAAAACAGACTCTCTGTTTGTATACTGTACTCATAGTAACCGATTAATTACTGGTTTTGTTTGGAGTATTAGGCAAGACCCGTTCGTGTAATTACAAGTCTATCCATATCTCCCACGATCCTAATTCCAACTGACTTTGCACATGCTGCGCGTAATTCAGCTAGCTTGTTAGTGACAGCACCAGAGACACATGTGTTTTGGGTTAAATGGTCTTAAACTGCGCAGCCAAAAGGCCACGCCGCAGACGAGTATCCCTCCTCAACCGGAAGCTGTGTATGTTATGTCTAAAGGTACTTAATCCCAGTGAATTACAAGATGCCTTGTACAGCGGCATTGCTCGCTCTTGTTCCATGCCCCTGGAAAGTAAGAAACTGGCAAACCTATATTTCATTTGACATTAATGGAAAATCCAATTTCGTCACTGAGCTAGATTGGCCTGCAATTTAGGAAGGATGTAGAGAAAATGACAGGACAAAATTGCACTTTATGACTCCTGATTGAATGTGCGTTGGCAGAAGCATTAGGCAGATGCTTGGGAATGTTTATGTCACAGTTCAGGAGCCTGGACACCACTGCTGAGCGATGTACATAAATTGTGTTTTAAAGCTGAACTCCAGGCAAACCGCTAAATGCACAGTTTAGAATTCATATATGGGAGCTGTATTACTTGCCAGAGGATTTGTATTAACATCCATTCAGTCCTGAGATGTATACAGTTCTACATGACCTGACTTTTCTTTACCACAATTATATAATAAAGTCAGGTTATCTCCCCATCCCTAACCTGTGTTTGGACTGTGAAGGAGAGGCCTCTTATTCTCTCTAAGTACTGCTCTGCAGGGGGTTATATTCCATGATCCTACTCAGCCAGACAGAGCCATGCAGCTAGAATTTTCAGTAGGGCCAGCAATGGTAGCGTTCATATTTTTTTCTGACATATGCAGAGATGGCTTGTTTATCAAGCAAAATCTCAACAGTTAATCACCTATCTAGCCCAATTCTGGTTGTCTCTCATTGGTCAAAAGAGTTGAAGTGGTTTGACATACATACATACAGTATGTTAGAAGTAGTCGGGTCATGTTGTATATTGGCAGGGGGCTAAGCAGCAGTGGAAAAAAATCTTATGGGAAATCTATAGTAATCTACAGAAAGTCCGTCTTATAGAATATGATTACTGTTTTGTGCAATAGAACTGATAACATGCCCATGTTGTAATTGTGCTTTTTATGGATACCTCTTTATAACGTGTGGCATATTGTTCCCTAGGAATAGTTATCCATAGAGTGTATCTTTGTCTGCTCCTAATATACTGCAATCTCTCCTCCCCACACAGCTGAGAATAGCACAAATTCCAAGCAATGCTTGTGGGTTATAAGAGGTTTACTGTGCTATAATCTACTCCTCTCCCATATGACTTCCTAAAGTCACCCCGAGGAGTTAAGTTACTTGAAGAATTCTGAAGCTTTAATGTCCTTGCTATTTCCATAGCATGTATAAAATAATACTCAGTTCTTTATATATATTACCATAAATGTTGTATATAAATTAGAGTGGACTACAGAGAACTCAGGTCAAGATGACCTGAGTGGATTTTCTTTAGCACAATTGCATTGTTTGCTGGATAGTATTAGAATCTCACTGATTGTTATACTTGTTGCCTTGAATTGCTTTTCAATGCTCACTGAAATATTAGATAATTCCTTTTGTGACTTTGTTTATTGACTCCAAAATTAATCACTGCATTTCAACTCTTGTCTTTTAGATTATCTTTAAGAATCGAGCCAGGGAACAGCTCACCTCGCCTAGTCTCCTCAAAGGAAGATATTGCAGGTATGCAATCGATTGCCAATATTGTTTTTATGGAACTGGTTAATTTTAGTACATATGAAACTTAGGAGTCTGTTTATAAATGTTTTCACACAACCTTTACTGAAAAATCACAAATTTGTTCACCTGTAGCCATATAGAACAATGTGTAAATCTTGGGTAAAGCTGTGTGAATCTTGTGTGAAAACATTGATAAGTAGACCCCTTAGTAAGGTTTGTGACTAGATAGCCATCTGGATGGAGAAAAATGCATTTGAGACAAGAAATCAACAGCTCCAACAACAAAGGCAATGTATAGTTCTAAAACCAAATACTTTCTAAGTGAATTACCAGCCTGGGGCCTTCAGGTTATAGAATCCGACATATGTACATATTCTGCTGGCTTGACGTGAATGACACAACAGAAGAATGCAGACTTTGTTCACAAATATTAAACTTTCCATATGTACGGGTTGCTTTTTTGTTTTCCAGCCGCTGAAACCAAATAAAAGCGTTTTTTTATGGTACGGGCAATGAGAGGTCGATCGTTTTTACAGATTTACTGCACATGTGTAGTCACTTTTTTTTAGGCAAAACAAAGGAACTTTAGATGGTTTTGGAAAATAGAGTTGGTCTTTGGTGGAAACTTTGTGTTCCGTGTTTATCCCAAATAAAACCTTCCTGGAGTGGGAGTGGGGAAGTGAGGAGTTTGTTTATTGTGAATACGAAATGGGGGCACGGAGAAATAACGAATCCCAGTGACTTTGTGTTATGCAATACTGCTGCCATCTTTTTGTAATTTATGTGAAAAAAACATATGAGTTATAGCAGTGCTCCAAATGAACTCTTTTAAAGTTAAAAAAATGTGTTTAATGTTTCAACTTTTTCTTTGATTCCTTCCTTCCAGTTCTTTTCATTCCCTTCTTTTGATTTTCTTTCCCCCAATTTCTACATCTACTTTATCGTCCTTTCTTTTCCCCTTAGTTACCTTTCCCATTTTCATTTAGCCTTTTCTCCTCCCATTTTCATCCGCCAACCCCCTTCACTTTCCTTTATCTTTTTTTCTTCATTTCTTATTTTACATTGTATTTTCTATCCCCATACCTTCCATTTTATTACTGCATTCTTTCTTTCTCTTTTTTTCTTCTTACTTTACCTCTTTCTTTTTTTCTTTTACCTTTGTGCTTTCTCGTTTCCTTTTGATCCCTCCCCTTGCTGATTGTCTTAGTAGAAATTGTAAGATTGTACAGAATGAATCATATAATTAGGAGCACCAAATAGACCTGAATTTAGCAGCCCCAACATTGACTATTACTTTCTTTCTCAGCAGAGAAGCATACAGTATCTGTAACAAAAATGTTCCTCATATTTGTTGGAAGCTTCCTATTAGATGATGTAAAGCTACTTATACAGCCAACTTTATATCCTCTCATAATGATATTGTTAGTGATGCCAGCTCTTTTATTTTAATGTATAAAATGTGTTTTTTATGTGGTTGACACCAAATATTACAGCTGTAAAATGTGAAATGTTAAAAGTCATTTTAATTGCTTACATGATTCTGCTTATAGAAATGTGCTTATAGAAATGTGTATGTTGTTAAGTGAATGGGAATTAAAGTGGAGCTCCAGTAAAAACCTCTTCTTTTAGGTTTTAGAAAGGTTTGAAACAGCTTTTTTTACCATTCCTTTTCCATTCTTTATTTACAAGAAGGCAGGGGAGTGAATACACACATTTGTGTAAAAATTCAGCAAAATAGTAAAAAACAATGTCCATATAATTCGAATCACAATAAGATTACAGGAGGGGACAACTCAAGCAAGTAAACTGAACTGATACAGCTAGACCATGCCATGCAGGAAGGTCAAGCTTGAAATATGCTTGATAATAAAAAAGGTATGCATACCCAACCCTTCCGATTTTTTAATTTACCGAGGTTCAGAAACTGTATAGAAAATTGAACACTAAGGTGGAGAGAAAGAGGGAAAAGGTACAGGGGGGATGTAAGAGTAGAGAAGAGGAGTGTGATGAATAAAGGAGAGGATAAGGCTGAAATAAGCACAAGAAAATGAGAAGAGGAAATAAGCGATCCATCCCGGAGTGGGGCTCTCCGTAAACCAGCCCACACCGGGAGCTTGGGTCGGTCCCGTACCAGAAACACGCTACAATTAAGTGCCAGCTGCCTCACCAAAAGCAGAAGATTCGGTAAAGTTAATCCAGGGGAGCCAGGTGACCATAAATGTATCAAATCTGTCATGGAGTGACACTGTCAGGTCCTCTATAAGCATAATTTAATTTACCTTATTGATCCACATGGTTACTGAGGGAGGATCGCAGGATTTCCGTGTAAGGCAATCACATGCCCGTGCGGCATTAGGTAAATGAATCAAGAGGGAGGATTTTGTATGACTTAATAGAAGAGTTTGAGCGGTGCAGCAGAAAAAGTGCAGGATCCAGTTCCATGGATCCACTACTTTCAGAATAATGTCCCAAACGCGTTGCAAAAGTGGACAGTCCCAGAATACATGTAGCAGGGAGCCGAGTGACTGTAGACATCTCCAACAATGTGGAGATGAGGATGGGAACATCTTGTGGAGGATGGTGGGTACCTTATACCATCATGTTAACAACTTGTAACCCGATTCCTGGATTCTACTAGAAATTGAAGATTTATGGGGGAAAAACAGGATTTTATTCCTTTGGGTTGGCGATCCTTTTTAGGTTTTTATTGCAGTCGGCAATACCTTTTGGGGATATTTCCGCCAACTTTCTATCTCAGAGAAAGGACTATATGTGAGAGGAAATCCCACTCTGTTGGTTGGAGTTCTACTATATCATACAGTACACTATCTTCAGACTTCCCTTTGTGCACTTTGTCTCTCCTAAAGTTGCTGCAAGCTGTACTTTGTAGAGTTGGTAGTTAAGATGGGATGCCTATGGCAGTGGAGTCTGCAGGATAGAAATTAAGATGGTGGATGATTCGGTAAGCTTGCCTTTTTGGTGTGGAGTTCCCTCTTCAAATATCTAATGTAGAAAACTTTGCAAATGTGTCCTTGATTTTGTTGGAGAGAGTTAAATGATGCATTTTATCAAAATGAAAATGGATGACGCGATTATTTCATAACCCTGGCATTTAAGAGTTTGTTCTTGGAACAGAAATAACCCTTTTTACATAATTTATTTCCAGAGAGCAGATACTTGTAGCAAAGCCACACTCCTAAACCTAGGTCACAGGAAGCCGTTGTCCGATTGACCAAGTACTAAAAATGTTTTGGTCACTGGCAAGTTGAGCAATTCTCTTAGCTCTGTATCAGCTTGGAATTTTTGTAAAGATTTATTTTCACCAAAGTAACTATTTCTGTCCTCAAATTCAGGACTTTCTTGCGAGGTCAAAATTGCAAAACTGCAGAAATGTACAGGTCAATAAGCAGTGGATTTAAAAAAGGGTGACACAGATTTTTGGGGTTTTGAATTGGCAGGTTTACCCCAAAGGGTTCTGTGTAGGGTAAGTGTGGGTTCTTCTGCAAGTGTTTGAGTTAGAAGATTTATACATTCTGATGTCATTGGTCATGTCTAGAGCAGGTCTCATGACTTAAAAAGATGGTGGAGACGATTCAGTTGTGTGTATTGAATTTGGGGAGGGGGGAGAGGGACACAGCATAACACAACTAAGTTTGCATTTCATTTTAAGTGGACTTGAACTGAAAAAGGTCAGATTTGCTATGTTGTAGGTAACATCTGCAAATGTTAATTATGCCTAAGCGTACACTGAAAAATCTGACCAAATACTTGAGCAGTGGGTGCATCTGGTTGGCTGCAGTTACTCTTCGGCCAAGAATTATTAGTCGCATTTCAGATTGAAGTTTGTCGAGTTGCGTGGTGCTGACAGGACCACCCACAAATCAAATTTTGGGTGATTCAGCAGGTATCAGCCTAAATTCAATCTGTGTATGGCTAGCTAAAACTGTATGTCAAGTCAAGAACTAGTTTGCATAGAGTGGGGAATGATTGGAACTGCTGTTGGATCGCTACTGCTATCTGGGAAAAGTAGAGAGATTTATCTTTACTTACTTTCCTGCTGACAAAGGTTTCACCAGGCACACCAGGAACTAGAAATATGACTATGACATTACATTGGTGAGGTGAGTTGGATTAGTATGGTAGCACATCCAATGTTAGACTATACTGTATATAACCATAGAGAATGATGGACTTTTAAGGTACCCATACACTCTGTTTATTAATGAGGTAAAAGCTCACCTCTGTTCTATGCTTGGCATGGGACAGAACCTGTCTCTACCATCCACAATCAAATGGATTGGTGGAAAGGATGTATGGGTTGTTGTAAGACAAAACTAGGTAAAATTTGCAGGACCATAGGAAGCTTTGAACAGGTTGTCTTTTACAAGCCTTAGGAGTACTTGAGTCAGAGAACATGGCTTACATATGAGATAGTGGCAAGCCAAGTGATGTTTATTCCCCATACGGCCACCAAATTAGGTGGGATAGCAAAGGATCAGACCAGACAGAAGCTTCATTTAGCAGGTTTAATGATAACAGCTTCAGCTCGGAAACAGGCATAAGCAAGTTCGAAAACAGAGGATCGCAGGCCCTTTTTTTATAAGAAATTTTACAATACAACCATATGTGTTACAATATCATTGGCTGCCAAGGCCCACATCACTGCAATTAGCCGTAAATCTAACATTCCTGCAGACAGTATGTCTCCTAAGTTGTTCTAGACCCCTCTATTCCAGCCCAAGCACATAGACCAGACACGTGCACACTGGCCGAGTGTGTCTTGTATGCTCTTATGGTTCATCTGAAGTTCATTTGCATATTTCTGTATAAAGCTTCTGAACTTCGAAGACTAGATTAACTATTACATAATAGTAATAATATATGCAATTTAATTAATAACAACAACAACATGAAGTGTATATCAAAATTCCACTACAACTCAACACTGTATTAAATCTACAACAATACAGATCTGACGGGTTCTAACCTTCACTACTCTAGAA